TGTAAAAGATATATATGTTACACCCTCAAGAGACTAGAGAAAGCCTACTAACGTTTCGTGTCCAATAAGTYTTTTATCTCTTTAGTACGATATGTAATTCAATGCCCTGTATATCCCTTCATTGACCATACTATCAACGATAGCTTAACTGCTTTCAGCGCTGAATCAACCCAGTCAAATGAATACAAAATATTGAAATTTTGTTATGATGGCTGCTATAGAAAGGGGTATGAATGGCCAACACTCAAATCACGCTGCGAAACAAAGTATATTTATATAATGCAAAAGGTACGCCAATCCAGAAGGGTAAAATCAAACAGAAAAACATTTTAGTATCCCACACAGGCTATTGTCATAGCAGGATTAAACTAATGGACTCTCAAATACGATTCATAATTAAAAAGAAAGACAAAAAAAGCATTGACAAATGAAGTACTTTCCAGAACACAAACCTTTTTATAAAGTATGCACCAGTTAGGAGAACGTTTATAGGAATATACTTTGTGTAATTACATCTATTATGGTCTGAACGTGAAATACGTACATCGAATTATTGTATAATCCTCGTGCATTGCGAACATTGYACAGTAAAACRAAATCGTTTAAAGTATTCACAWACTAGCAGTATATATTTAACATAAYCTTTCAAATTAGAGTTTGTTTGCTACTGGAAAGTATCTAATTAATTAATATAAATATGATTATGTATAACTTACCTAGATATGTTAGTTTACGATGAGTTGTAGTATTAAATGCTAATACCGTTTTTTGTTTTTGATAATCCCAATCTCATGGAAATTATATACTGGTTTAAATTCAATTTATTTGAATTCTTTTATCATTTGTTTGTTTTTGTGCATAAGGTGTAAATAAAACGGTYATTGATGAACGTTTTTCTTTTCGGAGATGATAACTTTAGAAATAAACATCTTAGAAYGAGAAAAAAGTACCATAAGCATAAAAACGACCCTAAATAACAGTTTTGATGTCCAATCTGTTAACTTGATGGAATTATCCTACATCYACCTGGTGTATGTTTCACATATTTTAATTTTGCTTTTATTCCGTTTTTTTATTTCTCTAGTGTAATTTGTAAKAGTATTTCGTGAATTTTGCTTTCGTGGATTTCGCATTCTCGTGGATTTTTAAATATTTTGCGTTTTTTCACGATGATTTTTCCTATTTTCGTGTTTTTTTTCTCATTGTAGAATGGTTATTTGTGCTCAGTTTTGATCAGTTATGTGAAGATTAATGAAAAATTAAAAATAGAAAGCTTTCATTAAAGAAGTCCGGGTTTCGTATAATGGTTGAAGCGGTATCTTTTGACTAATCAAGGAGTACTGTAAGTAAGTACGATTTACTATTGATATAATAACACATATCGTGTTCAAATGCCAGGTATTCATACTAAACCACAGGTCTTTATAGAATTAATTGAACAATAAAAGAAATGAGTCGCTAAGCCATGTGGTATTGCCTATGTCATGTATGGGCATGCGTAATGGCGCTATGTGATTCGTCCTTCGTACCCAAGTTGCGTAATACTAGTGTAAGACCTGCTTCAAACGCTGAATATCAAATGTTCCTAATTCAATGAAAAAGTGATGATAATGAAAACTTGCAATGAGTTCAGCATATATGAAATCGCCTTGGGCTAGTAATTTCGCAAATTTTAGTAAAAATGAGTGGAACATTACTTAAGGTATATATAGACATGACCCTACAAGTTATATTTAAGAACAGATATTCGTTATATCGAACCAATATATCATTAATGCACCACGCGGATCTATTAAATAAAACAGTTTCTGGTTTGYAGYAATTTGTATGTGTTAACCCTCAAAACAAATGACGGGAACAACGTTTCTACTCTTTTCCGCATCAATTAACAGTTTTCTTCTWATCGCATGATTCGCGTACTAAATATCATCAGACAAAACAAACAAAATCATCAAATATATTGAAAAATCCTGAGAAATACATTATTCATAGTCAGTCCTATAGTGCGAATAAATGTCGGCTATACGTAGTTAAAAGATACCTATAAAAAACTAGCGATAACGCCTATTATACGTCTAGACTTATTAAGAAACACTTCAATCTTGGGTAGGTCTATATAAACTATCTTGTTTTGTAGTCTAAAAAGTGTTCCTTGATTTCTTACGCAACGTAGGTGCGGTAATTTTGGTTTTGAACGMTATGCATTCAAGTTTTTCCATGCCGCGAACAAACCAAGACAAATTTGTACAAAACACTAAACAAATACATACATATTGTACTATTTATTTCATGTCATTTATTTGATATTATRAAACCTTTTGGTTTGTGATTAATAAACTGCGCAGATACACGGAATCATTCCAAAAATCCTGAGATATAACATTAACATATAAAGTTTTTATCCATGAATGTATTTATAATCTTTCCAATATTATAATAASTGTGTTATTTGGTGCATAGAGATGTTAGTGATTATATTCTAGCGATATTATTATGGTATTGTGTGGAGCTTATTAACCACGACCACCGCCAATTGGTCAAACAGAATTAAGTCGGTAGCCTATGTGAATGTTTCATAAAGCAGTGTCATTCTTCTAGTGATAATTATTCATGGTGTAAGCTTCATGATGTGGTTAGAGATTGCCTCGAGCTATCTATAGTTAGCCAGTTGTTGTTTTGCAAAAGCCTTCGCCAAAAGTGATTCTTTGTAGTTTGGCGAAGTACTATAGTAAGGTAAGTTAATAGTGAAATTGCTTCGCGTGCTTTGTACAATCTACAACACGTTTCGTTATCATCTGTGATTATGGTTGAGATACATGTGTGTMATAGTGGAGCTATATGCGTTCTTTTACGAGTACAACTGTTAAACCGAGGCATCCATAAGACTCAGGCTATTGAACTGGCAGTTCATAAAGACCTTGAGCACTTTTAGAGGCTGTTTCAATATTGACCATTTCACATAAAACTCGTTTTCCATTCAATATCCAATCATACTGGGGAAAAGCTCAAAAATAATTGTAAGCATGCATTGTTAAATTCAATTGAAAATATATGTTGTGATTATGTGAGAAGATCCAAAAAGGCAACTGTTTACAATCGCTTTGAGCCGGCGGAATGAACGACGGTTAACTAGTGGATATGTATWAACTGAGATTTCGCGCGATATTCAGGTGTTGGTTATCGTCGAATGCGATTTTTTATCGGMTCTACGATAAATCTACTGCCATATGTTGTATGTATCAAATAATTTTGGTAAAAACCTTAGTGTTTTATAATGCTTGTGTGTTAATTGTAAGCCAGTGTATACACAATTCCTATCAGCACAACTCTCTTCTCTTAGAGTTTAGCTAAAATACTGTAAAACAAAACAACACATAGACGAGTTTAATAGCTGACAKCCTTTGTTCCAATTTATCGCTAATTTCTTGGTTTAATAGCAAGTGTTTCTCCAATCACTGAGACCAAACTGGCATTCTATCATAAGGTTAAATTATTAATAACATGACCTGTTTTCCCATCAACACTCTTCCACGTTTATATTAAATCAATCGATGTATTTCCAAAACATTCCTTAACTCTTGTCAAAATAATAGATAGTGGTTCCAAAAGTTTTTCAAATTGTCTCGTTGGGAATCTATAAACATATAGAAAACTGAAAAACATAAATATAATAAGCGTCACTATAGCTTCTGCCTATGTTAGCGGACAATGTKGCACCTATAGCTGTTTGTAAAACCTTGAAACAGCCAAGAACAGAATGTTTTGTGATTAAACAAATATTGGTAAAATCTACACAAGATAGTGATGTCGCGAAACGTTATTAAAACCTGATATTAATTTTTATTTATAAAATGCGTGTTGTGAATGACGCGCGCGCTAACAGAAAGCAAAACTCTTTTCCCGCGTAAACAAAGCTTACAGCTTAGAGCTTTTTTCTCTTTTTCGTGACATATAAAGTGATAATAAGATAAGCTTGTAGAAATAATAACCAGTCATTCTTTGGAGAGAGAGGATTGTTTTTAGTCTTTGTTTTGCTTTTTAATGACTTTGTATTCAAACTTCACAGCAGGGATTCGCAAGGATAGAAGCGATTTGTCCAAGAAGACCTGTTTTATATAGAAATACAGGCTATACAACACTCTAATGATAGTCCTAAAAACAGCATTAAAAAGGAATAGAATTAAGTCTAAATTTCTTTATCTGAATAATAAATATTGATGACAATAACTTGGTAATGTTTTCCTAGTGAAAAGTGTTTTTTTAAAAGATCAGTGACAATCTAAGAAGTCTTTTAAGATGCCAAAACAAGAACATAAGAGGCTTTGACATAAAACAACATACAAATAACATCAAATTGTTTACATTCGCCGTAACTTTGAAGAAATTCGCGTTCCGCTTGCTCAATAATACTCTTCTTTGAGCTTTTATAACCGCACATCATATCTTGTACGTGCARCTTTCTCCCAAGGGGTAACAACATAGACTTTAAGAACAGGTCTCCCTAGGCATTCCTGAAGTGATTAGGCCTCTGAGGGTGGTCAGGGTTGGTCACCCTGTTGTTATTTTTAAGGGCACCCTAATGTTGATAGATAGAACTTGTAGGGAGACAGAGCCAACTCTTTATCCCTAATTCTAAGTCCGAGAAGGCGTGATGATCTAACCATAGGTGGACCAGAAACAAAACTAGCAACATGTCCACTTTAAGAGAGTGAATAGTTATCCAGCTGTTGACTGCAAGCGAGTCAGGTTTCATATGTTGGAGGAAAACATCTGGTTCTTCAATAATTAAACTAAAAATACTTCACACAAGGTTCGTGTAAAGCAAGGATTGTATGTCCTTTTCGAACTACAGGACAGCTCGAATGAGATTGTCAGAGATCTAGATTTCCTCTTTTTACGAGTACTATTGTAATTGTGTAGCCTTCGATTCCTTGACAAAGTTCCTACAACAAGAAATGATGTCCCCCCTTTCCCCAGCAATGCTGGCTGAAATAGATGCCTCCCCTTCCCCTACAATGTTGGTTAGAAATGATGCCTCCCCTTCCCCTACAATGCTGACTGTAGGCTGCTATTGATCATAGTGAGATCAGATCAACTATTATAGTTCTATACAAGAAACCCATTTGTTTTCGACACTATAGGTTATCAAAAGTCAAAAAGGCATTAGAGATTTAGAACGTATAGTTAGTATGGTCTATTTTCTTACCTTGTACTATATCTTACATTACTATATAAAGTATTTTCGTTCATTCAGCTATACGTCTATCATTTTATGAAAATCAACGAGTTCCGCTTTGGTTTTCCTCACTTTGAGACTTTAATAAAGTTATCTATTTATTCATATTTTTATTATTTGTTTAAGGYTTTCCACGCAATTTAAAAAGTATTAAGTTAATGCGAAAGTAATGATAAAAACCGAATCAATATCACAAAATCCTTTAATTCAAAATGGCGTCGATGTCAGAAATGGGATAACTTGAACATTCTCGCTTTATAAATTCTCACGTTTTCAATCCATAAATTGGAACCAATCACTTTAAATCGGCCTTATTCTTAAGGATATTATTATATCAGACGACGAATTATACAAGGTAACAACATTAAGAAACCGCGTTCATTTCTGATCAATATAATTAGTATTTCTATTCATATCCAAAATTAGAAGTGAGTTTTGAGAGCACAAGTTTCCGTCCAAAACTTATTGGTTTTACAAAAGTGGAATATAGCGTACACTGTCCACTTTTGTGTGTGRTTAACAGTGTGGTAATTTGATCAGCGATTTTTGCCGACTGAAAAGTGATACCTGATTACCTCTGAAAGCTAAAACATAATAAAAATATAAAGAATGCTAACAGACAAAAACAACAGACAAGCAACTGAAATGAAAAAATGTTCAAAAATTAAGAAAAGAACAAAAAAAAGTATGGGAAAGGAAAAAAAGAAATATTTTAATTTTTAAGAACAGAGGATTTGAGACAAATAAAAAGGAATGAAAAAAAAAACGAAGGGAAAAAGTCATTTAAATGGAAATGAAATTAATAATAAGAGCGAGCAAAGATGATAAACAAGCTTCTGTTTTTAATATCAAATCAATTTCTTTGTTTTGTTGTGTGTTGTTGTCTCAGTTAGCATCGAAGAACATGGGAAAAATCCCCCTTTTCCATAAATCTTTGTAACGGAGTCTATAACATTATAAGTTAGAACGAAAACTGCTTAAAATAAAAGATAAAAAATTATTTGAACTACCAGGTAAATGTAACTTAACGGCAGGTGTAAATGTACAAGTTTTCAACCAATCAAATGACGCTATTTACTGGAGAAAATTAGTGATTTCAAAAGCATAGTTCATGCAGAGTTATTTGAACGTAGTTACGAAAGCTTTGTACGTGGGCGAGTAGGATTGTCTGTCYCTTATTCTAAGCCWTCTAAACGACCTCCAAACTGAACTACTTTACCAAAATGAAATAATCTTATCATTGAGTTAACGCAGGGTAAGTTATTTAAAGAAAATCACTGTTTCTTAGTAAAAGGTGTCGATAGTTTAACCAAGACGTATTTATGAAATGACTAACGGTGATTAATTCAAATATGTTTTTGTCATTGAAAACACTTCGGAGAAAAGAGTTCGTACGCTTTTCTAGCTGTATATATATATATCTAGACTTTTGACAAGTCGTTGATTCTTAAAGTATTACAAGCTCTTAATGCATACAACTAATTGTAACTCCCGCAATTTATCCCGTATCTTGTCCTCATTACTGGCCCTTTCATTGTACTATACCAGACTATATTTCACATCGACTACTTAAAGAACTAGCTTTTCAGTAGTTAGAAATCGTYAAAAATACCCAGTATTGGATGTCATTGTTGCTAGGTTTCTATATATCCAGGTGTACCACTAGATTATGTATTGCGACCTCCTGGAGAGGGAAAAATAGAGTACATTTTCAAAAAYAACATTAACCAGTTTGAGGTATTCTTTGGAGGAAAAATATGACAAGTAGTTCTCTAGTGATCTAGTGAAAAACGTGAATGAAAAATGGGAATGGGATGGGAATTCGATCGAAGATAGATGATTAGATATGTCAAATCTTGTACTAGTTTAATTTCAATACAGTTCTACATATCTGGAATAACCTATAAACCACCGTTTGCGATATGAAAACTAGTGAATGTAGCACCATCAACATCTAATTTCTGTGTTACAACTAGTACAAAACACGACATTTTGTCACATGTTTGAACATATTTCAGCACTTTATCAACGATGTYAGCCYTTCTTAGCTTGACGATTTATAACAATAGATTCGTCATAAGATGGAGTTTTTTCATGCATTTACATTAGGATACCCTCTTCATTTCAATACAATTATCGACGGTTTTTTCATTCCAATTTGACGTTTTTCCAGTTTTCTTTAGCCCTGTTTTCTGGGTGACRATTTCCACGAGGATCTACCTTACCAAATTCTGAATGAATGGTCGATGGTTATTAGGGTTATTAGACATGATTCTCATTCATTTCTTATATTTTCTTTACATATCAAAATGGCTGCCGTCTGACAAAGAAGCGGTGTTTCTTTTCCACAATGTATAATACATTTATATACTGTATTCTCTTGTATATGGTACATTTTTTCATACGTTGTCTGGTGAAAACTATCTTTGAACCATCTTTATTCAAATTGCAATCACCTATCCTAATTTTTTATAATAAAATTCCTTCTTGAGTTTACAAGAAAGCAGGAAATTCAAAATCCAGCTGTACTAGCTTCTATGGAAATTTCGCAATATGTAAACAGTCTGAAAAAAGTTCGAATACGAAAGACCTCGGAATCGAATATTGACACATAAGTTATACCTAGTTCATGGAATTCGAAAAATATATGTTATGTTGATAATAACCAGTAAAACTATTGTTAAACCTATATTTCATTTACCACTAAGAAAGAATATATGTTAAAATAGTCATTAAAAAATCGACTTTTTGACTCAATTCCTAAACTACCAGCAGAGGAATTTTTTAMGCGGCGAGAAAAGAGAAAAATAAAAAAATCTTTTGTTGACAAAATACTCCATTTTTCTGTYTTTTTTCCAATAATTCTTACCGTGTTTTGGCTGTAAAAATCAATACACGTGATATCCTTTTTTTCTAGTWATACTACCGCCAGCCTCAGCATAAACAAACGCTGATAATTTCACAACCTTGTCTATTAAAGGTGGCTTTCAGTTTGTCATGTAAAGTCAAGATCGGTTTTAAGTCCTTTATTCAGCTATTAGTCCAATTATCCAGCCTACCGCAGTGCACTACCACTGGCTACACCTGCATTAATCAACGGTACTTACTTTCAACGGAAAATACGTCTGATACACCCATACTGAACATATTAACAGTTTGAACACAGTATGAACCAAGGGAATTCATGAGAAATGCGTTATTTAGTTTAAGACTGTAGATAACAGGAATTTGTCGAATTACCAATGCATTATTTACAATGGGAGTAACGGTTTGTAGCATTTATGAGTTATATGGTTTAAATGCATGTATTTATTAAGACTGCTGATGGTCTGTTAAGATGCCACAACAATTTCTATATAATAGTTGACATTCTAGCTTTAATTTGAAAGATTCTATTTAGGATAACATAGAAAAAAAAACAGCTACAATAAGCAACTATGTACAGCCTAACACACTCTCAATTACTGTGAGAGACATAATCGAGAAAATTGTTAAAATGGAAACTTATTGYCATATTCATTACTGCTGTTATCATAGAAACCCTGTAGGCGTTGGAACTGGTACAACCAACGAAAACAACTGTATTTAACTGTGTGTTGTGCGTCTTAGATATTGTATAGTTCAGATGGAATTTTGGCTGAAGTGACCCATTTTAATACCATGTACAAATTGTATAGGTTCTCAAGAGCAGCAATAACCGATTCTCATTCAGTAATGATTGTTTTCATCATTTGACACTTAATTTATACCAAGAAAACCAAATTTTACAATTAAGAGTGACTTTCCGACGATCGTGACAGATAGTAAAGCCAACAAAAAACCCGGTTATTAGAAGGCTTAAAAACTCAGAGTGTTTCCCTTTGTATCTTATCAACTAGTACCAACTAGATTGTCATTTTATTTTCCCTGTCTACGAAAAATCACTCTATATTGGAACCGACGTCTAATGTATGCCAAACCCATCGCAAAGCATTCTACTATTTTCTCGCTTATTATCATGGGTCTTACTGGTATTAAACAGGATTGATTTCTTACATTTGAAATAAAGCCTCAGGGGCTGATGCATACCGTGACAGACGAACTAAAAAGAAAAACTTGATGTCTTGCAATACAAAAGGACAGACGTCTTCTAAACTCATTTTTCTTTTCTTACAGTTGCTAATGTTTGCGTTATGCTTGTGTTTATGTTATGTTATGTTTGTGTTGATATGTGGCTTTAAAAGACAGAATGAACACTGTGTTTTTCTACATTTCATAATATGCCTTTTCTTACAGTTTCTAATGTTTGCGTTATGCTTGTGTTTATGTTTGTGTCGATGTGTGGCTTAACAAGACAGAAGCACTGTGTTTTTCTGTATTTCATAATATGTCTTTTCTTACAGTTTCTAATGTTTGCGTTATGCTTGTGTTTATGTTATGTTATGTTTGTGTCGATGTGTGKCTTWASAAGACAGAAGCACTGTGTTTTTCTAAATTTCATAATATGTTTTTTGTTACATCTTGTTATGATCGTGTTGATGTGGGGCCGACCCTAAAGTTTAGAAACACGATAGGACTTTTCTTTGTTTTGTTTGAGGTTCCTGTCTTTTCTAAGCTTGGTCGTGTGCTTGCGCCTATGCTCATGTCAMTGTATTATATTATAATTGTAACTTGACTTGTTCGCATGCTTTATGCCTACAATGTCTTATGATATGACTAGACGTTTATTTTTTTTGTGTTTCCTTTGCTGATTAAGCGTGAATCGGTCCTTAGAATCTCAATAAGACAGAATTATTCAATTATCAGACAAGTTAATAAGAAAATACAATAGTGCCACCGTTACATGCATATTCACTTCTGATGWAAAGTGGTTATATTGATTATTAATATATTAGTGAAACATTAGTTCTCATGAAATATCGAGGTCCGATAGTTCTGGGTAAGACCTAACAACCTAATAAATGACTATATACTCTGGTTGATGAAACATACTTGAACTACTATACTTTTTTTCTGAGAAATCCAACTCAATTTATTATCGTTAGGTAACCATCCAACAGTAATTGCCTATATGAATATTCATATAATTCCCTTAAAAGAGGAATGCCTTTTTTGATTATATTATACTCCTGCTTAACTAGTTACCCTAGTTTATATCTGAATATGAAATAAGGTAACGGCAAAACCCTTATAAATATATTACAAAATACCAAATAAATTGAGTAATCTCGGCCAAAAAAATTATATTCAACGTTTTCTTTTGGCAATTTCAGGGTTTGCAAGGGTGTGGATTATCAAGAGCAAGACAAACKAACAATTTAAGGTAATGATTTTTTGCAAATTATTTCAACATCCTTCTAAACAAAAAAATGAAAAAATGAGAATGTTTCTCATTCGTCGAATCCTTCTGAAACCTACGTGCTTTCCAGCTAGTCTTTTTTAATAACATGGCAACACATCAGAACCCTTAACAACCGTTAATTGCAACATATCACACAGCGTAGCACCTGTACCTTGTAAATTGGATAAAACGTTCTAGAATGTTCCATGACGTCTTAATGAATTTGACTTTGCGACGGGCAATAAATAATCAATGATAAAAAGCCCAAATAACCGAGAATGGACCGCTACGTAAAAACTAAAATCAACGTAAACCTTACGTAAAATATT